ACAAACCATTGTCGAGCTCATCACCAAGCACTTCCGACCTCTTCCACCATCTTCGTATGCTTCCCTTCTCGAGGCCCCCTAACACTAATGCCCAAGCCCATATGTAGCCCCGACCGGCGACACGACCGAGCCACGCATCACCACCTCTCCGCACCGACCCGTGCCCATGGCAGCCTCATGCTCCGAGCCAAGGTTCGGGCCCACCCGAGCCCAGTCATCGAGCTGCACGAGCCCACCTCACCCAAGGTCACATGCGCAGGTCAGGTCCGGGTCAAGCCCAGGCGCGCGTGCAAGACTTGGCAATCAGCGATGGAAGAGATAGAGAAGCTTCATGCTAACAAGCACAGGGGCAATTCTGGCCGCCCGATCGGCAGCAAATTTGCGGAGGCCGTACATTTCTTGACTGCTCTGACAAAATTCCGGTTCCATTTTCGTTGCTTCGGCGGTTTTCCGTCCTCCTATTCTTCATCAGATGAAGAAGAGGAAGAGGAGGAAGAGGAAGAGAGAGAAGCAGAGGGGGGAGGAGCTGGCACTGTATTTGCTAAATGGTTCATGATATTGCAGGAGGACCCAGATAAGAAAACCCACCTTAATGGGATGAGAGAGAAAGTGGGGTTAGAGAGAGAAAGAGGATTTGTTGGGGGAGAGAGAGAGAAGGGGAAATTTGGGGAGGAGAGAGAGGAGGAGGCTCCAACCGTGCCCCCTCCAAATGCCCTGTTATTGATGAGGTGCAGGTCGGCTGCATTAAAGGGGTGGGAAGAAGAGGAGAAGGTTGAATTGAAGACAGAAAGAGGAGGAGAGAGAAAGCATGGTTTTGATTGTTTCAGAGTTTCGCCAGAAATTTCAAGGGAGACGTGGGTGAAGAAGTCGGATTATTTGTCGGGAAGCCGGAGTTGGAAGAGATAGAAAACTTTTCCGGCGTGTTTTTCCGGTGAAGTGTTGGAGTTGTGTATGGTTTTGGGGTTGTGTACAGTTTAGAAGAGAAGCGCAATTGATCGAAAAGGCTGAAACTTTTCCGAAAGTAAAGCTCTTGTTTTTCGTCTTCTTTTTCTGAGATTTCTCATTTTTTATTCCCAATTTTTTTTTTGGGTGCTGTCCTCCTCCTTTCTCTTACTTCTTTCTCACTCTTCCTCCCACTCCGAATCCAGAGATATGTTCCGGATTGAATAAAAATTGGTTTGATGCACGCGCCAAGCGTATCACAATCTCAAAGTAAGACAAAGAAGATCGTTTGTATTTATGTGTATCTTATCTTGTTGTCATTAGTTTGGTTTGAATGTATGCGTTCAATGGATATGTGATTTATTTATGCAGTTATGGATATGGATGGCCAGTGGTGGACTATATTGTAGTAAAATGAAATCGACGCATCTATGTGATTGAACCTCATTTTATTTATTGGCTTGGGATCTTTTCAGTACTTGTGTAATGGTTTGAGATACGTCAATACATTCTCTTGGATTTAGAGAGAGAGAAGCCCGGGGGGAGGGGAGGGGAGGTGGCATAAAATAAAGATGGGAAACAGGGCATGAAACAATGAAGCATGGGTTGAAAGCCAAGAAGGAGAGGAGAGGAAAGCATGAAGCATGGGTTTCACAGTGACTCAAAATGAGGACTATAGAGAAAGGACTGACAAACTTAGGATTTTCTTTTTGGGTAGATGAATTTGTTGCAAGTAACTAACTACTCCACTTTGGAAACCATGTGATTCTCAAGTTTTTATCCTCTTTTTTTTTTTTTTTTTTGACTTTTTTGGTTAAATTTAGCATTATCAGTTTAAAAATCACCATGGTTGTGCAGATCATATTGGTAATTGAGGGGTCCTTTAAATCTAATCCTGGTAAGTCTGGCCCCAATTTCAATTTTTGGAATATAAAATATTGTCTTTCTCTCTGTGTATCAAATGGTGTATAGGATCCCCAAATGTACTATTACAAAGAGAAACGTATAAGATCAATAACCTTCCCAAGATAGGTATATAAAATAAGAAAGAAAATATTATGCAGAAACAATTAATACAGGTTGCTATAATTTCACACTCCTCAAACTTGAGATGGCTCGGTAGAAATCGTTTTGAAAGAAACCAAGAGAATTGAGGAGCACTATCTATTTTGGTGATTAAGTCAGCCAGTTGCACAAAGGAGACAATGTATGTAAGAGAAATTGTGCTTGCCAAAAATTCTTGCTGAGCAAGGTGACGGTCGACTTCAATATGCTTGGCACGTGGAACTCTGGATTTTAAAAATGTAGATGGTGTTTTAGTTGTTCCAATAAAGCGGTGTGGAAGTCATAACAGTGTTCACAAGACACTCGAGGATGGCGAGGCGGGGCATGAATTTTCAGCCATGATGCCAAGCACCTTCGAATTGAAACAGAGTCAATCAGTGGTAGAGATTAGATCTTCGTCAAATTATAGTCCGAGAGGGAGGTAAGCCTAATGATTGCTCTATTTCTCTCTAACCACTAACAATTGTCGGTTTATGGGACGATGAGGCTGAAAATACGCGAATAGGAAGAAGTTTTAAAAATCCTAGAGCAAAGAATGGGATTGATATAAGAAATGGTTTCAAAATAGGGAATTAGGACTAAACTATACTAAATATGCAAAGAAAAGCTAAAAGAGATGAACTTACTTGGAAACCAAGCCCATAAGCTCCGCACCTAGAGTCGGTGGTCTTGCTTAGATCCGAAATTGTTGTGCCAACCTCTTTCGCCTCTTAGAGTTTGCCAATTGGGATTGAACCATGTTAAGATTGAGTTGATACTAACTTAAATTTGAATTGGATACTAAGCCTAGGCTATAAAGAAAGATTCTATAGTCCATAGATGTAACCAAGAATCTATGATTTGATTACAAGCCTCAGGGTATATGTTGACTAAGATAAGATTCCAGTGGTTAAAAGTAAGCAAAGGGGTTTTATGAGAGGGAAAATTAAGATTCTTAGCTTTAGGATTTCGTAGGATCCAGGGTTAAGTGTGTGGAGTGTTAGGGCTTCCTCCATTTCTCTAAGGTTTCATAACCAAAACCGTAGTTGAGGGTCTATATTTACAAGCTAGTACCTAGATAACGGCTCCTGCAAGTGGTGGTTGAATCTGGGCCATAGATCACTACCAAAACACAGTATTACGCTTGCGTAAATAGGTGTTATGCAGACGCAGTGGACCCCATAATTTTGTTGTTTTGTGCCTTTTATCTTGTTATGGCTGTTGGGATGTTTCAACATGTAAAGGAGCCATTTTATGTGTGTTTTAGTGGTGGTAATGGATTTAAATTATGAGTTTTAAATGCCATAGTAGTGAGGTCAAACTAAGGTTTAGTGGGGTTATGATGTTATTAGGGTTTGACCTATGATTAAAGGTGTTGGCCCATGTTTAGATTAGTATAGGCAAGTTTAAGGTGGGTTTAGGCCATTTAGGTAGGTTTAGGTTTATTTTAGAAGGTTTTAAGGGAGCTTAGGTCTAAATTGGAAGGTTTAAAGGTGGCTTAGGTTATCTTAAGAACGTTTAAGATGGATTAGTGGATTGAAGTAATTGAACTAGTTTAGTTGGGTTTTAAATTGGAGGAGTTGATTAACTTCTATGGTGCATGGGATGGGCTATGGTATATGAAAACAATGGTTCTAGGGTTCATGGTCATAGTGTGGTCCTTAGTCTAGTTTTAGGCTCAAAAATGAGTTTTTGGTGGGGCAAGTTCCATAGTTTTGGTTAATGGGTAGACTAAGGTCTAGGCCTACGCTCTAAGTTTTCTAGGGTTTCTACTTCCTGGAATTCCTTCAGCTAAGAATGAAGTGTCTACAAACAGTAATGCCCATATCAGCAAGGAACCAATAAAGCCAAACAAATTATGTTGTAGTTTATGCTATTGGCATATATTTAGCTTCTGTAGTAGATTGAGCAATGCGTTTTTATTTCTTACTTTTTCAAGGTAAAAGAGAATCACAAAAAAAAATACAAAATCATGAAGTTTATTTGTGAACACTTAGTTTCTTTACAAAATTTGAGTCTTCGCCCGATGCTCAAGTAAGGAAGAAGAAAAGAAAAACAAAGCTTGGTGTTGAGAATCTCGAATATAACGAATGATACGTAAGACTGTAGCTAAATAGACGAATCGACGAGCACTTTGGATTGACTAACCAAATGCGCCACATAAGTAATATCTAGGTGAGAAATTGTCAGATATATTAATTTTTCAACCAATTGACGGTAAAAATGTTGTAACTAGGAGTAGTTTACTATTTGTTTCTCTAAGGTTAACATTCAATTAAGTAAGAGTGTCATCTCTCTTAGTATCATTCATGAGACAAGCTTGGGAGACTATTTCTAAGGCATACTTGTGTTGAGATAACAAATAGCTGCGAGGAGAATTAGAAACATGTAGACTAAGAAAATGGTGCAAGAACCCTAAGTCTTTCATTTCAAATATTTGATTGAGTGTTTGTTTAATCTTATAAATGGATATCCATATCATCACCAAATATTATCATATCATCCACATAGAGTAACAAAAATGCTTGGCTAGTAAAAGTATCAAACACAAATAGGGATAGATCTTGATGGCTCTATCGTCAAAATCCTACTGACATTACAAAATTTTTCAATCCAAGCTAGAGGTGCTTGTTTGAGTCCATACATGGCTTGGTGAAGAACGATTTTTTTTGGCTTATGGAAACTGAGGGAGGGAGGGAGGGAGGGGGGGGCCTTGCTGGAGAGTCTTGGAGCTGTGGGAAATTTTATGAACACGATAGAGAGGACTTTGGATCTGGTTTCGATGGTGATTTTTAGAGGCGAATTTCAAAGACAAAAGGGTTTTAGATCTATCGGTTTCAAGGGAGATTTTTCAGAGTTCGATTTTGAGAGGTATCGAATGATTGGTTTTCAAATGCGGATTTCCGTGGGTGGTTTTGAGATGACAGTTTCAGATTGACGGTTTCACATCTGGTAGGGTGATTTTTTTATTTGCAATGTTACATTGTGGTTTTGTAGGATGATGGTTTTTGTAGGGTGGCTTCGGTAGAAAGGTATTGCATGGCTGAGGTTTGGTATGGCTGATTTCACATGCCGTTATTTAGATGTCGATTTTAGGAAAATAGACCACGAGATCATTTACCTTTGACACAAGGTGATCACATTTGATCTTGACCATTGGATGTGAAATTGAGTGGTTACATTTATTCCATTGACTAAGTTGAATGTCCTAAAGAAATGTTTTTGAACTTTGTGATACACCCAAACTATCACATTTCACATCAAATGGTTACAAGTAATTGAGACCTTCTTGGTAAATGGTCTCATTGTATACAATTTTTTTCATAAAAGTCATATTGCACGACTACCGGCCATAGCTCCATCACCATGTTGAAAATATTGTATTTCTCTTTATATCAAATTGTGTATAGGACCAAAGAGCGGTGTTCTTCTGTTTATGCATGACTCCCATTCTAACTCTCCAACGTAGGACTAAAACATTATTTAAATTACATAACATGCTTAAAACTCCCTTTGGCGAAACTAACAGAACCAAGCCACCCACTTTATTGCACAAGCAAGGCACAACAAAAGAAAAAAGGAAATTCCTTTCCCTCAAGTTTTTGATTTGGATGTATTGATATATACGAATGCACACAGGAATGTATATATGCAATAATTAAAGAGCAATACAAAATGCACACATTTACTTGTCGCCCTGGGTTCATCACCTGTCCGAGCTCAATCGACCAAAGTTCTCCATTTTCCGGGCTACACCCCGAGTGCTACTTCAATTCTCTTATTTCTAGGTTTCCGCAGAGAACGAGAAAGAGAGCGAGCAAGCAAGGGAGAGAGAGAGCATACACAATCACTAAGTGTGCCTTCCTCGCAAAACGCCTGGCTTGTTCATCGCCGCCCTCGGTTTCGTTGATTGCATGGCCCTGATTGGGCAGGCATGCATCTATGAATAAGAAAAATTGGAGTGTGTAGTGCTTTGAAGATGGGAGATACAATGGCCAAGAAGCATTTCAACTGCTATGGTATTTGATGGAACTCTCGAGCAACTGTGGATTGGATCCTGCTATATCCTTCACTTGAGACCCATTCTTGTATATCTTGAAAGCCGGCACGGATGAGACACCCTCTGATTTACTTATGTTTGGGTTTTCCTCTGTGTCCACCTGAAACCACAAATTCAGACAACTTCGAATAAACAGATAAACTAGTCAAACTTCAAACTTTTTGGAGTTTAGAGAGCTTGCCATTGTATCTAGGGCCAGGCTTGCTAGGCCGGTGCTTGTGCCCGGCCCTATCTTTTCTTCCACTTTCTTTTTCAAAAAACGAATTCCTATATCGACATAAGGTCTGGCCCCATTTTTTGGGTTCAGGCCTCATCAGCACAAATTCAGGTTGGCCTAGTTAAATGGTTCCACACCGGCCCTTGGGCCTGTGCAGGCCCGGAGTTTTCACAGCCCTAATTCTAGTTGTATCCTAATGCTTGAAAATTTTGTATTAAGTATATGGAAAAAGTTTATATAAGGATGCTGCCTTATAATGTAGAACTACGGATGCCCCCTCAAAAATCCATCGGAAAAGGTAGTTTAATGTTGAAAAACCCTTTGATTGATCATCTTGACATCGAGATGTATGACTATGAAAAATAAAAAGATTTTAAGTCTCAAAAATAGTGCATTTTACAACATATTATCTACACCATCAATTTTTAAGATTTTCATATGTTTATAGATCTACTTGATTTTAACCATTTTTTAAATTTAAAATTTTATAATTAGATATAAAAATAGATTTTGAGATAATCCTAAGACATTTTACATCAAAATTATATACCATGATAAAATTTGAAAGTGCACCGTACCTCTACACCTACCGCACCCTAATTATATTCGCTATCCACCGCAGGAGTTTTTCAATAGAAACAGAGACCAATATTAACCAAAACGACAATATAGAGTAGAAAAGGGTAAAACATTAAGGCAAAAGTTTAAGTTTACCATCTTAAAAATCTTAAAATGTGTTGTTAAGATGCACCTAAAAAAATCCATTGATCAATGTCGTAAAAAAATCCATTGATCATCACGACATTGATATGTACGTTTTATAAAAAAACAAGTTCTGATCTTAAAAACAAGTGCATTTTGCAACATGTTTCTGGACCATCAATTTTAAGATTTTCATTTGTTTACAGCTCTATTTGATTTGAACCATTTATGAAGGTTACTACTGTATAACTAGTTTCAAGCTCTATTTGATTTGACACCAAAATTATATCTTACAATAAAAATTGGAGGTGCACCTTACTTCGATTGTTTACGATTGTTTAAGGTGGCAACCTTATATAAACCACACGCTAACATAAAAGATGCCAAAATAACCGATAAAGGGAAAGTAATGGAAACGTTTACCTTTCCAAGAAATTTTTTAAGATGGCCCTAGACCAGTGAAATTAACCCATGCCGCAGTCCAAAACTGTTTTGCTCAAACTTTATGTAGACAAGTGACAAAACATTTTCCTCAAACTTCGTATAGAGAAGTGACAAACCCCAACAATCCAATTTTACCAATTTTACATCCAAGGGGGTTGGATGTTCAAAAATATAAAGGTAGCCATTCTCATTGTATCCCCTTCAAGTTTTTAGTGATCGATAATCTCTACCAAGGATGGTAGGTATGAATAAATAAATAACTTTTAAAAATTTTAAAGTCATAAAAAATTGAAAGTAGCAAAGGGTGTGTAAGGTGTTATCTTACACCATACAAGTGAGGGTCACTACTAAATTTTGCCAGAAAACGAAGTTCCGGTGTCGAACACCATACGATGGCTTGAAAATCCATGTTCAGCTCTATATAAAAAATTTAAATATCCAAAGATAATGCTAACCAAGGAGATCTGCAAACACTTGAAAAAGATGAAAATAGAGTGTCCAGATAACGTGTTATAGAGATGCATGCCCTTTAAGACTTCAAATTCTTTTCTATCTATATATCCATCAATACATCTTGGGATCAAGATGATCAATTGAAAGGTTTCTTGACTTCACAAAATTAATTAATTTCTTTTTACTGATATTTAAGTTCCATCTTCCTTCCTTACTTCTATATTGCAATCTCTTACAAACTATTTCTTTTTTTAAAATTTTATTTACACCATGCATTTTAAATTTCAGTTGGATCCCCCTTTTTGACACCCATCTTATGTTTGATGGTCAGGGGGCACATGCGTCCCCTGACTTACCAAACATTTTTTATATGTTATTGTTATTTTTTTATTGGACCAGGTTTTTACCGACCCCCGACTCAATACTATTTTCATGGGGGCTCCTTTGAACACCCAATATTTGTATCGATCTTGAACCCAAATTTATAGTGCTCTATGATCTACACTATGATGATCATGAATACAAAAAATAAAAATAAAAATATTTTAAAAGATTTAAAATTATTTTTATTAGAATATTTTCCTATCCATTGGATAGGAATCTTTAGTTGTGGATGTTCATCTTAAAGATGGACATTTGTGATTGTGCGGGCTAGTGAGCACGAACAAAACACTTTTCCTTTCTTATTTTTAAAGGAAATATTTCAGTCAAAAAAATAGTTGTAGTTTTCAATGGAGTTTCTGTTATTGAAAAAGTATTTCATGCGGGTTAGATCGCATTTCTATAATAGGGGGGCCCAAGGTATAAGACATCTACTTTAAAAATGGATGCTGATAGGTGGCCTATCTAAAAACAATTGAAACTAATGATCCAAATGTTTTTTTTTATAAAATTATTATTTTTATTTCTTAAATATTATTTATTTATTTATATTCAAGAGATTACATAACCTAAAAAATTGGATCCGAAAATCCATTTCAAAAATAAATTTTTAAGACTCAACTCATTTCTACAGGACTCAGAAACCGTGTCTTTCTGTTATTTCGAAAATCTACATGGACTCAGAAACCGTGTCCTGTTATTTCGAAAATCTACATGGACTCAGAAACCGTGTCCTGTTATCTCGAAAAGACTGGACATCATTATTGCCTTTTTACATCATTCAACCTGGTACATAACTGTATTATTGGTTAAAATGTCAATGAATTAGCATCATAATACGGCATTATGTTTTTAACATCCATTTTAATGTCCATGAATTAGCATCATAATACGGCATTGTGTTTTAAGTAACATCCATTTTTTTAAAACATTATATGCAGTTAGTTCTTTTGACTTCTTAGGCTAAGCTAATGCAGCCGTTTACTTCTTTAAGGGGCAATGTTTTTACGTTGCCCCAACAACATATATAAGTTGTACGTGACCCACTTTTTAACTGTCCGACTTAAATCGAACGGCTACTATGAATGTTCATACCACAATGTCACACCAAATATTGTTTTATTTTTCTTTTCTTCTACATAACATTTTTGAGTAAAATTTTGGGCGCCACATCATAAAATTAGGGAAAACCTGGAATATATATATGTATATTTATAAAACTAAATGACAAAAGTGTCCCTACAAATTTTAAGGGTATTCTCTGATGAGAAATGATCCTATAGAACTCTCCCCCACCCATATGTGTAGGATCCCAAAGGATCACCATTAAATTTGGTACGGATCTATAGAAAAGTCAAGTCCTACACCCATGTAATAATTTTTTTAGAGATCCGTTGCCAACTTTAATGGTGATCTTTTGTGGTCCTACACACATGAGTGGAAAAAGGTCTTATAAGATCATACTCTTTTGTAATTTGTCATCACCTGAAATATTGTTTTTATTATTTTTATCATGTACAGCCCCGTTAGATCTATGGATGCCCCAAATTTTGTTTCAAAATTATTTATAGAATAAAAATAAAAAATAAAAAACTATGAGCCATTTGATCAAGATCTGACGGTTAAGGGCTATCTTGTGATATTGTGACTAGCCATCTACTCATATTTGACGGCAGAGACAAGATGTCACATATACCCTATATGTGAATGTGGTCACATAAAAAGCTTTCCTTTTTTAAAAAAGGATTGTCTACAAACATACCATCTCTTTTGTACATGGAGGCCAATACACACAAATCCATTTTTTAAAATCCATTTTTTTTACTACTTTTCAACTATATTTGGATGTGCTTTGTTTAATCATACTTTAAATATATTTTTCATGTTTGTTTTATTTTTTAAAAACGTTTTGAACTTGCTCGATTAGGCCAGTTGAACTGGCCGATTTACTAGTTACTCGAACCCAGCCCTTGGCCGTTTTTCAAGGCGAGTTCGATTTTGAACATTGCTTTCACACATACAGAAGCAAGAGAGAGATTGAGGAGGGATCATCAGAAACCATAGAATAACAAACCTTAAGGAAATTGACAGAAGGGTATTTCTTGCATAGTTGCTCGATGAAGGGAAGGAGTTGCTGGCATGTTTCATTTGAATTTGTACAGAACAAACCTACAGACATCCCTGTAAAGTTCACATCGAATAAGTAAGGAAAAATATAAATTGTAGTAACAGAAATTACATTGAAACTTATAGCCATCCAATCAATGGGTTGGTCGGTGAGTAAGGGTCAGTAGCCATGACAATTCAATTAGTGACGTGTTTGGTGGTCCTACATTCCTCTTTCACCATTCAACCCATCTATTTGATGGGAAAAGGGATGGAGTCGTCGTGGTGGCACCCCCACCACCCCCTAATCACCAAGTTGTGGTATTCATTCTTACTGACACCGTAAAAACACTAACTCCTAAACTATTTGAAAAAATGTGTGTGATTGTAGACCCACAGCATATGGCACAACATGCGAAACAACATTTTTCTATAGTATATCTGTGTAATATTATCCATTCGACCGTAGAGGTTTCTCACCAACTATGTCATTAATTCATCCATGTGTGCCACTGTCCCTCAATCACTGTCCAACCCATTTTATCAGATGGTTTAGATGGTGATAAACCATGTTGTCATGTTCATCACACTATGTTTCTCTTATTCATTAAGAATTTGTCCTTTATTTGAGATTACTGGATGATTATATGGATCCTATTCTATTATTTGTTAACTTCCTATATTTGTCCTAACAATTTGGGGTGATCTTTATGTGGGGTTGGTAGAAAAATAAGAGAGATTTTTCTAGGTAAATGATATTCTATTTGACGTCTCCATTTACGAAAATTTTTTATTTTTTTCTTTTGTGTTACCCTAATTTTCAAGTTATGTTTGCTTACCAGGACCCCTAACGTATTGCCTTAAGCGATCGCCATTGGTGATGAGGACAACATTGGAGATGTTCTCCTTCACATCTTCACCTCGGGATTTCTTGAGTTGTTTTTTAATCTCCAACAAGGCTTGCTCCACCTCCGTATCTCCTGGACATTCTACGTTTAATATCTCATAGTCTTGTATTGATGCTTCCCACCTCTCCAACTGTCGCCAAATAACACAAGACAACCATGTGAGTGCAATCGAGATATATGCTACATTCATCCAAATATTCTTCTTCTTTCACTATAGCGGGCAATGGGCTTGGCAGCCGGGCCCTGAAATCCTAGGACCTGGGCTACAACATGTGGCCCTAAGGGAGGGCCACCACCGCCTAATGGCTGGGCCTTGGCGGGGTGAGGCCCAACCCTTTTGCTTTTTCTTTTATTGTATTTGGTTCAACCTCGCATTGACAGGGCCAGGGCCAGGGCCCGGCCTGGACCATGACCTCTTTGGCCATGTCGAAGCTCAAGCCGGCCCTAGTATAGATTTACAAAGAAAAGGGTAAAGCAGTAGGTAGAAATATTCCTTGAATAGCTTTATTTAAGAAATAAGCTTAGTAGTATTCTTCTGGACATGGTTGTTAATCGGATCCAAGTCAAAACCAATCAGGCCCCTAACCCAATTGGGTCTCAACTAGACCCAGAATCAAAAGGGCCTAGGTCATTGGATCAAGATACAACAGCCGAGTTGGGTTGGGTATGGGTCTAGAGCAAAGAAAAGATAAAGTTTATCTTGTATTTTTATAATATATACAAATGATGCAAATAAGGGCTGGCAACAGACCAAGCCTGACCTGGGCTGGGCTAGCCCTGGTCCTGATCCCCATAGTGCCAGCATATGCCCAACCAAGCCCAGACATAGCCAAAGAGGCCCTGGGCTGGGACCAGCACGGCCCTACTTTATCAGAGCAGGCTGAGCAAGGCCAAATAGAAAAAAATGAAAACATAAAAAAATATACGGAACAAATAGTCGGTCCATGTCCTAGCCCAACCTGGCTCTTGAGCTACGTTTTGTGGTGTAGGCCCCTAATGCATATTAATGTGATGAGAAAGTATATTGTAATCCTCAGGACCAATTGAAATTAAGACACTAAAAATACCCAGTATTATTTTCTTTTGAAACTGCTCCTCCAATTAAAAAAAATTACCTTTTTTGGATCAAAAGACCCCAATTTGCCTCAGGTTTATAACACCCCTTTTTTTTTTTTTTGGTACCGAACCAAAAACTGAATTTATGGTGGTCCGACAAAAAAAAAAGTGCTGAACTGACACAAAAAAAGTGTTGGACTATTCCAGCATATTGATTTTATAGTGTCAGTTCAGCAATTGGACCAAAAAATGAGTCCGATTTGGCACAAAAAAAATGTGTCTGGCCGACACAAAAAATGCGTTGGACATTTCATAGTGCCAGTCCGGCACCATCGCTTGAAACTAGTCCGTCAGTGTTTTGTGCCAAACTGGTATTATGAAAGTGTTAAATTTAGTGCTATCCAAAATCACCCACATAAATAAATCTCATATTATGTGGGATTGAATTATGTCATTATTATACGAGATTGACATTGATATTTGATAAGTTTCTTAAAAGAAATAGAAATCCAAAAAAGATTAGGACTCTTGGATATATCTCTTGGTCTTTTGAGATACATGTAAAATCAATATGAAATTTCATATTTAGTATGGTTTCCTAATCTTAATCATAGATATATGGGATGAAAGTGCAGAGAATTTGTGTACTTTAGTTGGGTCACCATATGGGAATTTCCTCTAGAGATAAGGGGCAAAGCTTCTTGTGCATAAGATGAAATTTTCTCTTACAGAAGAGAGCTTCTTATGGAGAGAAATATTGTGATGGTACCTCTTTTATAATCCCGAAGATTAAGATGTTTGTTTCTTGTAGAGAAACGCTTTCTATAGAGATTTTGGGTTGTTTTCCTTTTAATGAGAGAAAGTCTCAGTTGCTCTCAAAGTTCTCTTCTTAGAGAGCGGTCTAGTTATGAAATAGAGATGAGATATCGGCAGTGATGCCGTTTAGGAGAGCAAGTGTAAGAAAGTTTGCTGAACTCTGTTTTGTCGAGGTTTGTTCCAAAATCTTTGATGTAACTTTCATTGGTATAATAGATTTCAGTTTATCGTGCCCGTAGATATAACCCTTCACGTAAATCTTTATGTTCACAACGTAGTATGTGTTTCATTTTATTTCTCGTACTTTATTTGCCAAAAATCAACCATCGGGTTTAAAGCTTTCAGCAGAAAGCAGTATAAAGGCAGAGGGGTACTGTAATCATAAATTTTTGACATTTTGACTAAAAGGAAGTGCAAAAGGAGATATTGTGGTTTTTCTAATGTTTTAAAAATTTATTAAGAGGAGGATGTTAAGAAAGTTGAGTGAATGGGGTTTTTAGTAATTTCCCCGAAACTCAAACCCTGGATCGCCGGACATCAATTACAATTCTACCAGCCAACTCATGTGATTTCCAAGTTTAATGGATCTAGAGATAACAAAGAAGTAAAAACTTAAAAAGCATGAAAACTAAGCAATTCCAAGAATCCTCAATCCTGAATTGCTAACCTCCCAATTCCCATCAGACTCGGGCAATTCCAAGTCGGGTTGGAAATTTTTAAATTCATGTTTTTGAAGATCACAGATTCTAGTGAACTTCCCCAAAAACAGTTGCTATGTTTAGAGAAAACTTGTAAAGTGCTCTCAAGTTTCTCATAGTTATTTGCCATCAATCTCAGCCATGTGACCACTCAAAGAACTACAATTTTGAGCAGATGAATGGCATCCTAGCCAGCCAAAGATGACATCTGATAGCTGGATTGATGCCAAGCAACTGGAGGAAACTTAACTGCGTGCATTATAGGCCAACCCTTTTGGTCATGCTTTTTTGGTGATACCTTGGCATTGCAGTCAGCCCTTCGGAGGCGAGCCTTGGTGTATGAAGGGCGGATACTGAGGGCGGCGGTGCAATCCTCGATGGCTCTTTCCCACTGTCCCATCTTCGACCGACAGGCAGCGCGATTGCAAAGTAAGATGGTATTGAGTGGGTCATTTTGGAGGCCATCTCCATAGGCCAAACACGCTTCACTAAACCTAGAAGCTTTAAAGAGGTCATTGCCATTGGAGCGAGCTGAAGACACTGCTCTTGCCTTCCTCACCACTGCCCCAATCTCCATGTTGCTTGGATCCAATCTGCCTGCTCTTTGGGCCGCACTAACGGCATTATCAAATCTGCAAATTTACTTTGATTTTGTTTACGTCTAATATTTTTTGCCCACAAAATTTGAAAATAAAATGGTCTCAGAACGTTTATGTTTCATAGTAGTAGAAATTTATTGTTCTTTCTATAATTGGCCACTTTATAGGGCTCCAGAAAGCAGTAATCAAAACAAGACCAGACTGGCTGGTTTGACTGGTCAGACTACTAGAAGGTTCCTTTCCTTGTGGCATCTATAGTCCTACGGGTCTGATCAATTAGTTTTGAGCAATTCTACCGGCTTAAACAAAATTGGGTAACTGATCCAATAGGTTGGGATGATTTTGATTGGCGCATAAAAATTAATGTTAAATAGGTTTTAAAATATTCGACCAATTGGTTTTGAGCAACTCTACCGGCTTAAACTAAATTGGGTAATTTTATAATCCGATCCAATAGGTTGGAATGATTTTGATTGGAGCATAACCCCTCGCTGAACACCACAACAATATTTGCATGCCACTAATTACGCCATACACGACCACGAATAAGTGGATCATGTGTTCTTCTTGTTTTTTTTTTTTTTTCTTTGTTTTGTCTTTTTTTTTTTTTTTTCGTTTTTTTTTGTTGGTGGGGTGAGAGAGAGGACCGTGTGTTGACCAAATATCAACCTAATAGTCTTTAGCTTTTTTCTTGATGAAACCTTCGCATGGACTACCATAAACTTTTAATAAATAAAATCAATTTTTAATTAATTTAACCTTTTTTCTGATGCTCTTTTATAATTATTTTATGATGTTCTAATATTATTATTTTTTTGAAAAACGATGCTCTAATATTATTATCACATATGAATCGCAATATATTTAAAAGGAAAGTATATAATGAGACCATTTACCTTTGGTACAATATAGTCACAATAAATCTTGACCATTAGATGTGAAATTGGGTAGTTGCATTTATTTCATTGACCAAACTTAAAGTTCAAAAGAATTTTTCTCGAACTTTGTGGCACACCCAAACTATCAATATTCATATAGTTGTTAAGTAATTGTGACCTCCTTATTCCAATGGTAAATGGTTTTATTGTATACAATCCCATATTTAAATGCATATATAAATTGGACATAATTTTTAGATGTGTTATTTAAATAAGGGTGTGGTTTGTATAGAGCCAAGGCTCTAAACAATCAAATTAGAGCCTACCTTTAAATAGTGTCGAGAAATGTGATTCCAACACTGGAAACTTTCATATCTATTTATAAAGTTTAAAGCTTAAAAAATATTGTAGATCGACAGATCTATGAAAACTGGAAAATCTTGAAAATTGACGGTCAAAAAATATATTATAAAATACATCATTTCCAAAACTTGAAATCAATTTTTTTCTCACGTCCATACATCTTGATGTCGAGATGATCGATTTGAAGATTTTTGGGCATCAAAACAATCTCGTCTAGTGAAATTTATGAGGGAGGCTCAAATGTGAATGTTTAGAGCCTCAGCTCTATATAAACATTTCCCTTAAATAATAGTTTTTGAAGTTCACGTACGTTCTTTATACTCGCATCTAGACATTATGCACTTCACAGTCTTATCGTAAAAGACAAGGGAGGTAAAAGTTGTTACTCTCTCGGGGTAAAAGTGGGAAATTGATTGAGAGCATGGAGAGCAGGTCATTACAAAAGAAGGGTGAAAACATGGTTGTAGCTTCTGGAAAAATAAAATAAAAATAAAGTTATTACCAATTATACGAATTGTAGGTCAAAAAAGAGTACAAATCTTACAGATCCCTGACCACTTGAGAATGGATGGTCTTGAGCATGTATTACGGTATATACTATTTAAACAATTGATTCATACGAAATGGACCACATTTGTACAATATATGGTCTGAGGTATTAAGCATCCATCTTTAAGATGCAAATAGGTGATCTATTTAAAAACAATGGTAACTAACGGTCTAAATATTTTTTAAATATAATTATTATTATTAAGTTTTAAAATATATTTATTTTTTCATATTCATGAACTCCATGTTAACAATTATATATTCCCTAAAAATTAGGATCAAATTATATTTCAAAAATATATTTATTGTCAAACTTGCATTTCTATATGTGCAGGCTTGGCCACATGCCAACAGTGCCCGTCCATATTATTTCTAAGGATTGAAATCTGAATTTTTTGCACAACAATAATGGTCAAGGTCTAGATTATAGATTCAAAAGTTTCTTAAGCCAAAACTAAAATATTTGTTGAATTTTTAAGGTGAGGCTTTATTTTTTTCCATAAAACTTAAGCCTTATTTAAATGCTCCAAAATCCTAAAAATGCCCAAGGAATTCTTCAAATCATTTCCACCATATTTAGGAAAACGAAACAGAAGGAAACCAAACGAACCTTCCAGCTGCCATATCAACCTGCGCCTTTACAAGCAAAACATAGGCGTTGGTTGCGGCCCCAAAAAACTTGGTGCACGCATCCACCTCAAACTCTGGCGCTCCGCTCATTGCGGCCTCAGCCTTTTGCACCTTATGCAACCTCAGCAACGCCTCCGCTTGAGAAGCAAACACCTAATAAACATACAAAAAGAAATATCATATAAGAACTATCAAAGCATCCCATGCTCTGTTCTATTGAGCATTTTCATATCAACTATACTATACATCAAATTTTGCTGTAATATCTATAGTTAGACACTACTTTGCTCTGTTTATATTAAGCTGGGATACATTAAACACCAATATAACGGACTATAAATCATATCATACAGTAGTTGTGTTAGGTGTATTTTTGTTTATAGACCTGTGGAGCGGCATCGGCCCCAGTTGCGATGGCAGAGCTGGCCTCTTTGAGGAGAGTATGCCAATCTTTGAGCTTTCTGGCTTCTGTGCACTTTGATAGGTGAGTTTGGAAGGCCTGAGCTTGCCCTAATTCTCCTGCATTCGCTTCACTCCCTGATTGTTTATAGTGAGCCATGGCCTTCTCTGCATCTCCCAGCCTAAAAGTAACATAATTCTTTTTTTTTTTTAAGGGTACACCAAAAAATAAAAATAAAAATAATTTGTGTAAACTTGGAAACTCAAAATTGTGAGATAGTTATTCGATATAAGAACTACTCAAATTCCAGACCTAAAATTTCCTGAAGCTTGGAATTCTCGAGTTTTCTGATTTCTAATCTCCCCGTTAAACATAAACAAGAGAAATTTATCAAAAACACCTAAAAGGATGAAGTATAACATTCTACCCATTTCCAAGTCTTCCAACTCATGAGAACGTGGATTTTGATAGGTATTCTTAAATAAAATAAGACTCTATGAATAAAGTTTTAAAAGTGTGGTTTGTATAAGGTGTTAAAGGCGTCAACTTTGTACTACAGTAAGGTGCACCCAAGAAGTGTACCTAAAAAGGTTGTTATGCGGCAAAAAATCTATTTTGATCTTTAATTATGAAATTTAACGATCCAACCCAGATTAAAAACATCTATGTATACCTAAAAATCTTAAAAAAATAAATTGTTAAGATAATATGTTATAAGATATACTATTTGTATAGTTTGAAATTAATTTTTCTTTCGTATCCATACATACATCTCGAGGTCGAAATGATAAGTTAAAAGGCTCTTTTTTCCTTTCCGTTTTTTTTTTCTTTGGAAGTGAGAACCAACCTTTGTAGGTGGATTTTTGAAGTGGACCTTATGAGCATCTAAAACCTTTTTCCAAATTTTAAATAGTCCATCACTCTTGATATTTATATGAATTTTCCTCTAAACAAAATATACAAATGAAGTCTCCCATACTTTTACCTATAAATCCATAATGTCCCACAATACCCCACCAAAGCATCCAACCATCAAAAGAAACAGATGGAAGTTTTGGCCAAGTCCTAAACAAAACGAAACACAAAAGGAGAGGCATCTATCCATCAAAATGAAAGCAGCAAGCAAACAACATTAAAATACCTGAGGTAGAGAGTGGCCAGCCTATGATGGGCCCTCGCATAGGAGGGCTCCAGTCTCACGGCCTCACGACACTCGTCCACGGCCTCCAGCAATCGACCCAGCCCGGTTAGTGCCGCGCCCTTGTTGCTCCTATACGACGCGCGATCGGGGTCCAACATTATCGCCCTCTCATAAAGCACCAATGACTCTGCAAACCTACCCTTCCTATACTCCTCGTTTCCCATATTCTTCAACTCCTCAGGGTCACCTCCACCCTTTCCTTTGAATTCCAGTGGCGGTACTCCACCCCCTCTCACTACGCTCCCGTGGCTGTATTTCGAAGGTCTCTGTTGCTGTGGTTTTGGTTTCTTGTATTCGATTGCTTGAAAATTTTGGGGTTGTGCTTGCCTTATGTTGCCCAAGTAGCTGAAGACCATCATGTTGCTGCTCGATGCTCTCACGAGCGTAGAGCTGTTCTGTCGGTTGTGGTAGTAATCCGGCACGGGGCTTTCACCGCCATTGGTTTCGGTCGCAAAGCCACCCTTCAAGCGGGAATTGTTGGGGCGAGCTGCGGCCAGGTTGTAGGAGCCTGAAGAGCCGCAACTGCTCCCATCCAATGATTTACGGCCAAGGGCATTTTCAGAAACCACAGGGTTTCTGGTGGTCACCATCGCTTTGATTGGCTTCTGGGGTAGCGTCATATCTTGGATCACGAGCTCGTTCTTGGGTTTTGAAGTAACGATGAGAGACGGGGGATCATCGGAGCCAAGGAATGAGGTCTCGTCCGAACCTCCTCGTCTTCGTCTCGAAATCGATATTCCCATTTGACCCCTGGTGTCCTTGGAGCCGGTGGATGAGCTTCGTCGAGGCCAGAGCTTCCTGCGACCAAACCCGTAGAGGACCAGGATGCCGCAGCCGTGGCGCTTGGCATCATGCTCATAGCTCTTGGCCGTTGTCATCTGGGCCTTCATTGTGAGAAAGAAGATGGTGTATTGAGCATTCTTTGAGGTGTAGCTTGGGAATTGGGCCAAGGATTCTGGTAGTAGCGGCGAGGCGCCTCCAAGAGAGAAGTGGGTGCGTCGTTACAATAAAATGTGATCGAGTTTTAAGGGGTGGAGCGCACCACCTCCTAGACCTCGAGTGCTTACCAAAGAAATGTAACACCGCTTTTCGTGCCCCATACCACACCCCTATACCCGAATGCTGCTTTTCTTTTTCTTTCCTCTCTGTTTTCCCTGTCAAACCCTATTTTCTCTCTCCTCTTTTACTTCATTTAGGGGGGAGGGTTAGTTTTTTACAACTAGCAGAGAGGGGAGGGGGTGGGGTTCCCTGTCTAACCCCTATTTTCTCTCTCCTCCTATTTTTGGCTCCCTTTTACTTCGTTTAGGGGACGAGTTAGTTTTTTACAATTAGCTAGAGAGGGGAGGGGCATGTGAGGTGGGCACGTAGGAGAGAGAGCAACCCAATTTTAGGAAGCTCACGATTATTCTAGATACCTACAAGATATTTTGGGTAATTTTTTTGACATATATAGATTGAGATTTGACCAATTCAACCCTAAGAGTCCTGATCTCAAATTAATTATAAGTCCTATTTCTAATTGGGATTAATGCCTAAATTAAAGCCTATATAAACGCACGTAGTCTTCCTAAGAGAGAGCGATTCACGTGGGGGTGGGGATCTGTTTTTTCAATAGTGGACAAAAATGCGCCTAAATATATCTAAAATGACCCATCAACCCCCCTCTTTTGCCACAGTGGCAAACTTCAAATCCCAATAATATCGATATAATTTTTAATTTTAGGAAAGCTTATAGCGCATTGGTTTATAGAAATTTTATAGCGGCACACCCTATCATTTTTATAAGGGATTTGTTATCATTTATCTTTTTGTATATCAAGGTCGAAATTATTTTTTATAAGTGAAAAATAAATGTAACAAAATAATTTCTTTTTTATAAAAAGAGATCACAATATTATCAAATTTAAAATTATGTGATTAAAGATGTATCATTATTTAGACACAAAATCCCAAATAAAGATTCTCAAATGGTGTACTTTCATTATTAAATTTCATATTCAATAGCTAAAAGTTATTGTGATTTTTTTGTATTAAAAATAAATAGTCTCATAGTATACTATCTTTTTATAATAGAATTTTTGTAACAAGGTTTTCTGCTTTGAATGTCAAGATATATCTTGATATATATCCTACGAGAAGATATATCTTGACATAGGATATATCTTGATATATCTTGACATATCTTAATATATCCTACGACAAGATATATCTTGATATATCTTGACATAGGATATATCTTGACATATCTTGACATATCTTAATATATCTTGTCATAGGATATAGATCCCATGACAAGATATCTTGTCATAGGACATAGGATATCCTAAATAAGATATAGGATATAGGAGATATCCTATATCTTGTCATAGAATATCCTATGACAAGATAGAGGATATATCGTATATCTTATGACAAGATATATCTTATATCCTATGTCTTATATTCCATGACAAGATTTAGGATATATGATATATCCTATATCCTATAACCTATATATTGGATATAGGATATATATATATCTATATCCTATATATATCCTATATATGATATATATCCTATATATATCTTATATATATAGGATATAGGGTATATATCCTATATAAGATATATATATAGGATATCCTATATGGGATATATATATCCTATACATA